TAAGTACGTCGTCGACTAAGTAAGTTACTACTACTACTTACTTCCTTTCGTTGTAGTGTATTCTTTCCTTTCTACTTTACTTATCTTCTTATATATATATATATATATATATACATACATACACACACACACACACATTGTTTTTCCATATTATCTGTATCACATTCCAGAAATTTCAAGTTTGTAAACTAATTGTTGCATTCTACTATGTAATAAAGAATAAATTGATAAGAAATGGGACAAATAACTATGCCTTTCTTTTAAAACACTTAAAAGCAATTTTTAAAGTAGGTTCACACTCATTTTTATGGAATTAAATTCCCAAAAGTTAAAGTTGAGCCACATACATATCACTGTACATAAATTAATAGCATGATTTTTTGCCCTACAGTTATCAAGTTTAGTCCCCCTAACAAAAACATCTTGGCTACACGCTTTACCCACTTCTTGTTAAGGAAACATGCTATTTACAAACTTAACCTTTAATGTACAGCCTGAATACAAACAACCACAACGGTTTGTTTACCTACTCCTATTTTTACTACTATAGCATTGATAACATATGTCTAAAAAAGCATACAAAATGATAAAAATTAAAGCCACTCTCTTGAGGTTGCACAATTATGGCAATACTCAACAACAACAAAAAAAAACAGAGTGCAATTATCTTTTCTTTTTGTTAAGATACTTGTATAAATATTTAAAAAAAAATCATTTTCGTGTTTTCTAAATGTTTTGAAATTAAAACAATCTCATACTAAGTAACTACACAGAAGTTAACAGATTGGAAAACTACTGAGGTAATATTAGAAATTAAATTATTCTTCCATTTTCTTTTATTCCACAAACCTCACCTTGAGATTGTAGCTCAACAATGACATGGATTTTTCCTTCTGGCTCTAAGTCCACCTAGCATGAAAAAAAAAATTATTATCATCTCTATTTTGAGTAAGACAACACTACCTGCAAACAGTTAACTAATACCTGAGTAAGTAATTAAACCAGCACAAGTCAAATCTCAACATTGACAAAGAATGAGCAGTTGAAAATATAAACACAGCTAACTTAAGTAAATTCATTATTTTGTTTTAATTAGTCAGACCTTCCATAATTTAAATGTGCTTGTATAGGTCTACAAAAACAACCATGAACTGACATACTTATACTAAAGAGTTCTTCTCTTGCAAAACTTGCCATAAACCTCGATGTATAGCTCAATGAATCTAGCATTTGGCATAAGTACTGCCAGGTGTCACTTAAACACCATGGTTTGGTGTACAAGAATAACTGTGTAGCATACTGAATGTTGTAAAAATACTGCTGAATGTTATATTAAATGGTGTATAAACACAATTACATACTGTACAAACAACACTGTTTGGTACTGAATGG